AGACCAATAAGGAAAGATTGACATCCATGACACCTCTAACTTGGGATCAATTTTGTCAAAACGGATGACGGAGTTTCAAGCATCGAAAACTCAAAGAAAGTTAAAACCTTCTATAAATATTTTTCTCTTTTGTTCCGAAATGTTTATGCATAAGTACGAAGTTCTATGTTTTGACGAAAGTCAATAGTCTCGGTTGAGACTTAGTTTTGTTTTACTTTATTTAGCTAAGGCAAAAGTATTATTTTCTTTAAGTATAAAAGCTAAAAACAAGCATTTTCTGTTGGTCGAAAGACTAATTCTGTATGTTAAAGCCAAAATTTGGCCGAGATAAAATAACTTCGTATTCTTGTACTAATAAGAATTTTAGTTTCAGTGCCGCCAGCTTGGCGAGGAATGAGTAAAGTAAAATTTATTTTCTCTTATTCATTTTATGGTAAATTGTAAAAAGCATATGTATTAAACTTTTGTAAATGTATGTAAATACTTGCATGTTATGTAAAAGTAGAATTTAGTCTAGAAGCATAAAATTGTAGATGCTAAAAGTGAATGCTTAAAAGCAATGAAGTCAAATTTAAGTATTAAACTGTAAAGTCATGCTTTAGAGCGAAAGCCTGGCAGTTTTAAAGATGAATGAGGGGGAAAAGTTAGAATGATGTGTTTTGTAGGGTTCTCCACCTACATTTGAATTTTTAAGAATATTAAAGTAGCTCATTGAGTTGTAGAATGTCGAGTAGGTGTGTCTATTTGGTTGTTGAATTCTAACAAATCATGGTGGTTAGGGGAAGTGTTGTAAGACTAAAACACGAATATTCCCGTTTGACACCACACATGGTGGAGAGCCAGGGTAAAGTTAAATTAAATGCTTGAAAAATTGAATGAATGTGAAGTAAGCAATAACTAAGAAAAACGAATCGTTAAAAACAAAAATTTATTGTGTCAAGAAAGTGTAAATTATAATGTATGTAGAAAGATATTGATACTTATTCCTTCACCAAGATTGATTGATGAAGTCCAGGAAAAGTGGCTGTAAGAAGAAAGCTTTGTAACGAATAACAGAATTTTAATATAAAATTGTTACATAAGATTTTTTTTTGTGTAAACGAGGCTTTCGCCAGTTAGTTCAGAATTAGATAAACTTACAACAGGTCGTTTGTAGGACCTGCTTCCAAGTTTTCCAAATTCTGGCAGCGGCAAATGTAGGGTTTATATTTATTTTAACTAACATTTATTTTAAGTTTAAACTATCTTTCCTGTCAAGCCTTACTTTCCCCTGGAACTGCCAATGCCAGAATATGTAAATTTGAGTAGAACGCGCAAGGATTCAAATTATCAGCGGAAGTAGTATGATTTAAATAGAAGGAAACGAGTTCGGTGAGAGAGTTATTCTTACTTAGCGAGCGCGGAGGTAGAAATCGAGAATTGAAGAACCCCGCGTTGCGGCCTATGTGCTTGGCGGGAAGTAGTTGCAATTGTTCCAGTGAGCTTCAAGTCTGCTGAATTAGCTGCGGCTTTTGTAAAACGCGGTGAGTTAGTTATTTTAGAGAGCCTCGTAGTTAGAATATTGTCTTTACTTTCTTTTCAGGTTTTTATTTTTATTTGACTGCCTAGTGGGCACAGTCTGTAAGCGTCAAGAGGACGCCATTGTAATTTATTACGTTGAATAAAAAGGGACTTAAACCCTTTATAAGACTCTGTGGTTTATACAAGCTTTCACAGTCACCTCTTGGTTGCGTGCAAGTTTTAGGCGCGCAACGTTATAAAGTAGCTAAAGGAAAATTTATTATAAAAAATTTGCATCTGCACATCTGATTAAAACACAAGATTTGCTTCCCATATTTTTAAGTATTATTCATTTTAATAGTCATAAAATGAATTACATCGTATTTTCCCCTAATTTATTTTTGCTGCGTTATTACATAATTTTCTTTTCAACTAATTCATAACTTTAAAATCGTACACGGACAATGACCTAACGTAAGGTCTGGTACAAACGACCTGATGTACGACATTCTGTCCACTGAATGAGCTTTTTATAATAATAAATTAATTAGATAAGTTGTACCAGTATTAGTAAATGAATATAAATAATGATATGATAATAATCATAAAATATGCATTGCTAATAAGTTACACATACAATTATTCTTTTTGATTTAATTCATATAAAACGAATATAAAATCTGATTGAAAGAAGATGCAATAAAGGAAATTAAAATGCTTAAACAAAGTTAAAACTAAAATTAAAAAATGCATATGGTTTTAAAACGACTTAACGTTCCACAAGAGTCTTGCTCAGTGGTATGCGCATTTTGAAGCAAGAAGATAAAGTAACATTAATCGTAAAATAATGATGCGAGAGAGAATGGAGTGCCAGAATTAAGATTTGATATGTTGCTGGAGGAAGTGGATGGTTACTACAACTGATTACTTAAAAGAAGTAATCTAAGGAACTTTGTACCCTTCAATTGCTCAATTTGATTAATATCATCCACCCTGAAGCAAAATATAAAAACTGAGACCAAGTGGCGAATGTTCAAAATAAATTCCATACAGATTTTTGATTTTTAAGCTAGATTTCAGTGGCTGGTTGACACTACGAAAGCTGTAAAAGTTGGCACACATACTGCTACTCTCATCGATGCATAACGTGAAAAGAAACTAAGTATGTAATCTTTTATCTCTGATAATCACATATTGAGCATACATTTTGAACGATGGAACTGTCAAAATCTGTTATTACGCCTTCAAGTTTGCATACCACTGCAAGGTACGTATGAGATTAGTCTGACAATACGTCAGCCAGTCACGTTAGTTTGCGAAAAAGGGAACAGAAAAGCTTTTAATTTTTTAAGGCATCTGACTTAGAAGTCGCACTTGATTTACAACTAGAGATTTGAATGAAGCAATAAATGATCTCCGAGGATATAGCTGAAATTTAAGACAATTCTCAGTATTTTTTGATTTAAAAGTTTACGGAGTAACGCAAAACCTCTGCAGTTTCTCGAAACAGGTTTTAGTGACATTACCACCACCTTTATACATTTCAGTCGTTAAGTACCTTATCGCGTATCACACAAGACAGGATAAAAGTGATTGGTACGTATTTAAAATCATTAAATGCCACATTTAAAATAAATCTGATAAAATTTGACATTGGCTAGCTCTTTTTCCTATTTAGTTATCATTCCCGTAATCATTCAATCATCATTCATAAATTTTCATATAACGACTGATTCACGTATATCACTATAGAAAAAAATGTGCAAGTACCTGTTATTTATACGCCCTTGGGAAGGTCTGAGAGAAGAACCCATTAGTAGAACCGAAACAGTTCCTCATGCGGAGCAAAGAGGGAATGATGTTCAGAGTGTTTGTTCCCCACAGACAGACAAGCATGCGTTCCGAAGTTAGAATCGATTATAATAACATATTTAATTTTAAAATAAAATTTGTCTGCTGAAACTGTGTTTCACTTACATAAAAGAAGTTCCGAAGCCCTTTTATTTAGGGTTCTGGTGAGCTCGGGCTAGATTTAGCTTAGAAACCGAAAATTACGGGAGCCGGGCTGCGGCGCAATTAAAGGAGTAAAAAACCGACCCTGTTTACATCCTTAGGCTTACCAATTTATTACAAGTATAGTTAGAATTCATACTAACCTTGAAAGCTAAATTAAAATAAAACTATTCATTTTGTAATATGTGAAATGAAAGAAAATAATACATTGCAGAATATTTCCCAGCAGTTTAATATTCACAAATACAAAATGCCCTTTTATATACAAAACAAATATTGTAATTATTTGTTATTTTTACAATGGCGTAAAAATAACAAATAACTACAATCAACAATATTTCTTGCGAAAATAATCTAATAATATAGTAACTTGGGTCCTTTCTCTCATTTTATGCATTTATTGTTGTAATTCGCATCTACTTTAGCATAACTGTAAAACTTACAGTTGGTTAAAATATTAAAGATATTCATATAAAAATACTTCATAACATTTATCTGAAGATTTCTGAATTAAAAAAAGTATATTCGATTTCTCAATATCACATTTTAAATGTATAGATATTCTCAAAAATAAATGTTTTTCCCAGTATTTGGTGCAGATGTTTTCTATGGAATAAATCATATTAATTTCTAATTTTATATTTAACATCAGTAAATACTAAAATACAATTTAACCACTGCTAAACAGCTCATTTTTCCTAAAATATAAAAATTTGTCCCGTTGTTTCCGTACAATATTCAGGTGCCACCTAAAACCCATTGTCGATTAAAACCCTTTCTTCAAAACACTTCATCTCATAACACTAGCTTAATTAAAAATTTTGCAGTCCTTTATGTTTTCTACGTTGCATTTTATGTTTTAACTTTGTTGCCGAGTGTACCAGACATCGACTGAATGGTTTTGGGTCTGAGGAGGAGGTCCGCGAAAAAGAAGCACGACTGGACTGAATGGCGGTTTTGTTTGCTGCTGAAGTTCTTCCAGCGGAGTCACTCCTCGCTGAGTATTTTGATGCTGTTGTGTTAAAGTTAATCTTCGTTGATTGTTTTGTTGCTGAGCAGTTACTCTTGCTGGAAGTTGCTGCAGTTGTTCCAAGGGGCTCATCGCTCTGTGTAACTACTCTACGCAAGTTAGTGGGCGTGGATTTTTTGCTGCGTGTTGTGAATTAATTGATTTATTATTCCTGTTGGTTGTTGCTGTGTCGTCTGAAGCAATTAGTTTATTCGACTTGTGTGGGGATCTTTTTGAACGTTGAGGGAATTTTATGGCTGTTTTTCTACACGTAGCTGGCGTTGACCAACCGGCCCTTGGTTGTCAACATTATAAAAGCTTTGAATATCGGGGTAAAGTAGTTGGTTGCTATTCCGATTTCTACGTTGCACATCCCATAAGGCTGATTTATCTGTGGTTGTGAGTAACAAAGTACATCATGGCTTAAATGACCGTTAGTTGGAACCTTTCTGCTCTGAATGTTAGAATATGCATTTAGGTGTACTGTCCATGATGCTGAACTTCCCGAACCTCAAGTTGAATTTGCTCATAATACCTTTGGGCATCTCTGGTGTTTTGAAATACGTTATCATTTTGGTGATATCGAATTTGGTTTGGCACTTCTGGATACGATCTATATTTCTCAGCAGTGTGTCGATCCTCATTTCGGAAATCAATAAGTGTGGCTTCGTAGTCAGTTGATAGCTATCTTCATTACCTCGATCTCTATTGTCTCCTTTATACTGCTTATCGTCTAGAGGAAAAACTAATTCTTCGTTATCTCTTTCTTCACTATGCTTATGGCCCTTTCTTCGGCTGGAAAGCGTACAGATTTTTCTTGAGATGATGTGCTGTCGGATTTTGAATAAGAAGGAGGTTTTGCATGCACATCTTTTCGAACGCTATCTCTAATGCTTGCTATCAGAGGACTGGGATTCTATTTCTTGTAGGAAAGTGTGGCCGATGTATCCATTTTTTTTCGACTGAACATAATCGTCCTCCTAACCACCTATGGGCTCTTGCTTTCGTAAATCGCTAAAAAAGGGTATTCCATTACGAGCTTGGCAGCTGTTAGTTATGGGAGGCTAGTAATCATTAGCGAGTTTTTTCCCTGGATTAAGATTATCCGGAGGATAAGCTACAACCGCTTTGGAACCCTCGTTAGAAGGAGAATATCAATTGGAAGAGGAAATATTGTCAGAGGACTAGGTTTTCGTCCACGAAGTTGATTGAAGACATTGCCTAAAAAGATAATAAAAAGGTCTGTCAATATGTTAGTAAGCGAATGAACTGCCTTTATACGGATGAGAAGGTTTATAATACGGTACAATGAGTTATTCAGTTGGTAAATCGTGATTAGCTGGTCTAAGCTTCTTAGGTTCAAACGCAAACATTTGTTAATTTGTTGTAGTAAGTTGTTATGGTTTCGACCAGCTGTAAATGAATCGGAGTGAGTTACGAACGTTGCATCGGCATTTCTCTTTCATTTTAAAATAAAGTGTCATATGGTGTGCATTAATGCACATTTTTTATGCTAGAATCCCACAACTTTGAAACAAATCCACTGCTAAATCTTTTAGAATCTATGTCATAAGCCATTAAATAATTTAATTGAAGGGGCAAAAGAACGTGTGTTCATTCAAAAATTGCGTATAAAATATGTAAATATAATAAGAAAACGCAGGCAGCCATTTCACAAATTTGAGAATATCTTGGGTTTCTTTCTCAGCTAGCAATGATTCAACAACTTTTATTTTTCAACATAGCATGTAAATACAAGTTGTTAAAAAATCTGCATGATTGAATACTTCTTGAATCAGCAAAATTTTAACCACGGTTTTATTTTAAGGGAAAAAAAGACTTTCAGATTAAGGAAATTTTGATCATGGGATACATTTAATAAAAATGTAGGAAGTTTTAATTGATACTCGCTTTCTGCATGAAGAAAGTTAAAATTAGTAAGTTATTTCTTACACAGTTAGAAACGTTTCACAAGAAATGCTATTCATATTATGGGAACTCTGTCATAAAAAAAGTTTTCCATATTACATGATTTCAACCGATTTTTCTAGCAGTAAAAGATCAATTTTAAGATTAATTATGCCATATAAGATTTAATTATCCTAAGTACAAATGTTTGAATTTTAACATTTATAAAAATTGGAATGAATAAATGCAATTATGTGCAGTAAATTTGAAAAAAACGTTAAGTAATGTACTATATAAAATTTTATTCTATAAAAGCAGTTGTTGTCTCTTTTCAGTTCGATTTCACTTCTTTAGTCAAATATGGGAATCTCTGAAAGCTCATCTCTTTCTCTTAACGCATGCATAAATTAAGAAAGAATATGATAAAAAAACTGTATAGCGAAAAAGACGTAGAATGCAGCCTTTAGATAAAAAAAATATAAAGAATTATCACCCAGTTCAAAACAAATTTGACTTTGTTGCAGTAAAAGAGACGGACATTAATGATCAACGATGAATCATCGCAGAAATTTGCTTCATGCAATGCGTTTAATGACTGCACTTAAGTATCAAAGTCGGTAAAGAATAACTTGAATGAAGTTTGTAAGAATAAATTTCATGTATCTTTGAGTTTTAAAAAGACAAGCTGTTTAAAATCACAAACAGAAAAATTAATCTGCATGGGTGAAACAACCGCTGCATGGGTGAAACCGCTGCAACCGCTGCATGGGTGAAACAGCGGTTGCAGAGGACACACACACACACAACACAATAAAAAAAAAAAAAAAAAAAAAAAAGGGTTAAAAGGGATATGGTCCCCTTTTACAGCCATACAGGCCTCGTAGCGTCATGTCAAACTGGAAATAAGGCAGTTTATCAGTGCATGTGGCAATTGGTCCCACTCATTCAGCAACGCTGTTTTCAGTTCCTGGATGGTTCTCGAAGGGGGTTGCGAGTTGCATTTGCCCTTCCCCCGACCGTCTCAGACGTGCTATATAGGGTTGAGGTTCGGAGACCTGGCTGGCCAATCCATCCGGCGAATATCCTCACTCTCGAGAAATTCGTCGACCAGAAGATCTCTCTTTGGCCTCGCGTTACCGTCCTATAAGATGAACTCGGGGCCCAAATGCACCCCAGAAAAGGCGAACATAGGGCTCCAAGACCTCATTTTTATACCTCACACCATTCACAGAGCCTCTGTCAAAGACGTGGAGAAGTGTGCTGCCATCCAACTTGATGCCTTCCCAGACCATTACACCGCCACCGCCATAATTGTTGATTTCGCGGACATTGAAGGGTAGGTAACGAGTCCCTGGCTCTCTCCATATGAAAATACAGCGAGAATCGGTATTTATGCTAAAACGGGACTCGTCGGTGAACAGAATGTCGTCCATTGCTCCCTCCAGTAACCTGGGCCCACCAGCGGCCGAGCGGTAAAGTCGCTGAACACTGGTAGTTCGGTCCGAGGTTCGAATCCCGCGAACGGGCTGGCTGCATGGGTGTTTTCGTGGTTTTCCCCATGTGTAACGTGTATACGAGCCAGTTTCCCTTAGAAAGTCCTCCACGAAGGCATCCCTTCCGTTAGGCAGATAGCCCTAGTGTGCTTTGCCGTAATTAAATACACCACACACCCTCCAGTAACCTGCACCGTGCTAATCGGAATCTCCTGTCCGTAGACGTGAGCGGGATGCAAACAGCCGGTCTTCTGGCCAACAACCTTCTCTCATTCAGTCTTTTGGAAACAGTCACCCTTGGTACATGGGTTCCTGTGGCTCCATACAGGTCCGAGAGATCTGAGAAGCTGTAGCCCCTCGGTTACGCCTCGATAAATGGACAAATAGCGATCTTCTCTGGCCGTTGTGGCTCTTGGATGACCTTCCCCAGACTTTCTCTCGATGGATCCAGTATCCTGGAACTGTTTCCATAGGTTACACATGACGTTGAGCGTTAAACACTCTGCATTGGCCTGCCTCTAGCCTCCCCACAATTCGCCACTTAATTCCATCATCTAAACGTTGGTGGTTACTCATTTTTACTGTCCCGATGTAAATTTAACCGATTGCAGCAAGATAACACCAAGAAATGCGCTGAGGTATGGCCTGCCTCTAGCCTCCCCACAATTCGCCACTTAATTTCATCATCTAAACGTTGGTGGTTACTCATTTTTACTGTCCCGATGTAAATTTAACCGATTGCAGCAAGATAACACCAAGAAATGCGCTGAAGTATGGCCTGCCTCTAGCCTCCCCACAATTCGCCACTTAATTTCATCATCTAAACGTTGGTGGTTACTCATTTTTACTGTCCCGATGTAAATTTAACCGATTGCAGCAAGATAACACCAAGAAATGCGCTGAGGTATGGCAAGCGAGCACAATTCGTCTTACCCTCGACTCGCTTAAAAAGACTGTTTTTCTGCGGGCTCCTCCTACACACGCGAGTACGGCCGTACAAGATTTGCATTTTTATCTAGAAGCAGTGGTTTTTCCTTCAGTTCAGTTCTTTTCATGCAATTCGATAAAATATGCAAATTCTCTTAATTTATTTCACCAGTGTATCATTATGAGAAGGACTACTATGACGGAAAAATAATTTCATTTATGAAAATGTAGTTGTACATAAGAACATATAGTAACATTCTCAAATTCTGGTAAGTACTCGTTTCTACTCCGTTGCAGGTAGCTAGGATCAGGTGTAATAATAAGCATAAAGGAGGTTTTTGAAAAAAAAAAAAAACATTTAAACTCTTCGAGTTAAAGACGGCAAAATGCCACCTTAAAATGATGCTAATTGTACAAAAGAAGAGTATTAGCTAAAAAAACGTGCTTTTCTTGGGATCATTGTGCGTGATTTTAAATTGAAATTGTAGTGTTGAGGATACATTGCAGTAAAAATTATGAACAGTTTTGTAAATGTAATTTTTGAACCGATTTTTAAGTCAGTAGATAATGCGCTATTCCTTATAAAAAAGGAGCAATGGTTATTTCTAAGGTTTTATTGTCAGAATTTGAGGTATATAGAGATCTGTTTTTGCAGCATGTCCTCATATGGGGAAGGCGTAAAGTAAGACTGGGTGGATTATTGCTTTATATAATATTATTTTATAATAAAGAGAAAGATTTCTACATTTTCCAAGAAGACGTCTTAAAGAATAGAAAAGAAACACGCCAATGTGACAATCAAAATCTCAATAACAACCTTGTATTTAGCGTACATATATTAAAGCACTCAATCGATTTCGAGGGCAGCTAAAGGTCCCTCCTCATCAGAAGAACGAAATTACTAGAAAGGGGAAAAAAGAAGAAAAATAAAGCATCGGCAAAGGAGTCTCAGAAACACGTGGTCGTTATCAGCACTGCATGTGGTCGTAACCGGATTTTGAATCAGAGAGTTACACTGGCCGCCTACTTTTACTGAGCCAGGCTATCTGATTCATAACATGTCTAAGTTAGAATATATGCATTATCTTCTACCAACTAAAAAGACACCAAACCAAGTGAAACAGCTGTGGCGAAGAGAGTGAAATAATATTCACGCAGAAAAAGTAAAAAATGGTTAGTTCACTCATATGGTAGTATCACTCACAAAAAATGGTTAGTACTGAAGAACCTTGAGTTCACTCAGTGCAAACTGATTGAGAAAGAGCGGATGAAAATAAAAGAATGTGAAACTAATGTCAACTAAACCTTTTAGAAATTAAATATTTTCTGCA